CTAAGAAAAATTCACCTTCCCAAGGACTCTCACCCTCCTCTCCTGCAGCTCCTCTCACCTGCTTGCATTCTTAACACTCTTTTGGCCAAGCCCACTTCTTCTAATATAACCTATCCCTGTTGGTGTCTTTTGTGCACATTCACAGCCTCTCATATTACACTTCTTATTTGATACTTAAGATGAGTCACTAATTTGGTTAGTGATCTTCTTTCATGGACTTTTTTTCCTTCTTACTAGCTTCAGGAACAAATTCTTTAGAAGCAAAAGGCCTGGTATGATTCAAATGTGGGAGCCAATATGTACCCACCCATAGAAAATGCTCAAATATGAAAATATTTGTGATAATTTTGAATGTGTAAATGACTTTGTTCCCCAGAACATGCCAAATGGATCATTACAGCACTTGTAGTGAGTGTATATTTAACCAGATATTTAATACCAATAAATGAGAAAAGCTCTGAGCTAAGATTGAAGGGACCTGAAATCTAGTCCCAGCATAATTACTAGTCTCATGGGAAAGCCAGTTATTTTCTACCTCAGCTTTATTTGTCTATGTCATCAGAATAGAGATAACTTCCCAACTACAGAGAATTGTATTGAGACTCAAATTATATAATAGCTAACCATGCAAAAAAACCCCACAAATTTATCATTAATCAAAGTTGGATATAGACCTTTCCATATGGTAGCTGTACCTTCAAGCTATTTTGCTACTATAACTACAACCAGAAAGATGAATTTTCTATACAGCAACCTGATCATAAAATGACTGCTCCTGCCTTAATTCTAAATGCTAGTCTGGAACTTTCTTCAAATCTTGTTCACTGATTAGTTGTACTGATTGCAGTATGTCAGACTCAATCCGATTTTAGGTTGTATAGAATTATTGGTAATTAATTAAGAGGCTGGACCTCAGGTGAAGATGGCAATGTAGGGAGACATGGTTCAACTCTTCACACAACCACATCAAAATTACAACTAAAATATAGAACAACCATCACTCAAAACCATCAGAAATCGAGCTGACTGGAAGTCTGACAACTACAGAATTAAAGAAACCACATCCTTCCAGACTGGTAGGAGGGGCAAAGATGTGGAATGGGCTGGCCCCACATCCACATGTGGTAGACAAAATTTGGGAAGGATATCTCAGGAACGAGGAGTCCCACCTCCACACCAAGCCCCCCAGCCTAGGATTCCAATGACAGGAAGATAAATCCCCACAACTACTGGCTGCAAAAACCAGTTGGGATTGAGTCAGGAGAAGAAATTTCTGGAGCTCCAAGCAGTTCCTCTTAAAGAACCCACACACAGACTCACCTATTCAGATTTACTCCCTCTGAGCCCCAGCACTGGGGTAGCAGCTGAAAGGCACTAGTTGCAAACAAGGAGAAACTGAAGTGTCTGACATCAAGGCAAGCAGAGGTTATTGTCCCTTTTCTAAACCCTCCCCCTGCAGAGCTGCATATCCTGCAAGCTGGTGCCATATTTGAAACTCCATCAATCTGGCTAACACTGCTTGACCTGCCTTGGGGATCCCCAGAGACTCCACCCCACCCAACTTATGGGCCCACACAAGCTGCTTTTACATATGAATGTCTGGTCTTGGCTCATGCTTCACAATTTCCTAAATCCTCTCAAATAAGCAGCCATTGCACTTAGTGAGCCCCAGTCCCACCACTAGAAGCAGTGAGCCAAGATTAATAATTTGGCTTTACCTGGGAATCTCCAAGCCCAGTATAAGTAGCAGCCATCTCAGACTGCTTTAGAGTTCAAGAAGGGTGACCCAAGGCAAAACACAGATAAGAGCTGACCTTGGCCTGCACCACCTAGGAAACCCCAAGGCTAGTGCTATCAGTGGACAGCTACAGATATGTCAGAGCACCACCACCCTGCCCCTGCACAGCTGATCTAACACAGAGGTCAGAGGCTGACAGTAAATGGTCACAGCCAATCCTTGCAGCTGATTGCCCTGTGTAAATCCCTCCCATTGATCTGCCAACAGCAACCAAGGCTCAATTACTAGAGGAGGGTGGACTCAGCCCACATGGTTGGCACAGCTTGAGTAACTAGCTTACGTGATAGGGGAGGCTGTGCCACTGTGCTACAGGACACCTACAACATTAGCCCACACTATCAAGACATAGAGTCAAAGCAGCTTTACCTAATATGTAGAAACAAACACTGGGAAGCTGCCAAATGAGGAGACAAAAAACATGGCCCAAATGAAAGGACAGATCAAAACTCCAGAAAAAGAGTTAAATGAAATGGAGGTAAGCCATCTATCAGATGCAGAGTTCAAAACACTGGTTATAAGGATGCTTGAGGAACTTAGAGAGGACTTCAACAGATTAAAAAAGATCCAGTCAGGAATGAAAGACACACTAATTGAAATAAAAAACAGTTTATAGGAAAACAACAGTAGAGTGGATGAAGCTGAGTATCAAACTAATGATTTCAAACATAAGGAAGCAAAAAACAACCAATCAGAAAAACAAGAAGAAAAAAGAATCCAAAAAAAAACCGAAGATAAAACAGCCTCTGGGACAACTTCAAGAGGTCCAACATTTGCATCATGGGGTGCCAGAAGGAGAAGAGAAAGAGCAAGAAGTTGGAAGTCTATTTGAAAAGATAATGAAAGAAAACTTCCCTAATTTGATGAAGGAAATAGATATGCAAGTCTGGGAAGCACAGAGAGTCCCAAAGAAGTTGGATCCAAAGAAGCACACACCAAGACATCATAATTACATTACCCAACATTAAAGATAAGGGGAGACTCTTAAAAGCAGCCAGAAAATAGCAGTGAGGTACCTACAGGGGAGTTTCCATAAGACTGTCAGCTGATTTCTCAAAAGAAACTTTGCAAAGGATTGGCAAGAAATATTGAAAGTCATGAAAAGCAGGGACCTACAGCCAAGATTGCTCAAGCTGGAAAACTAACATTTAGAAGTGAAGGGCAGGTAAAAATCTTCCCAGACAAGAAAAAAACTGAAGGAGTGCATCATCACCAAACCATTATTATGTGAAATGTTAAAAAGACCTACTTAAGAAAAAAATATAGTCAAAGACATTGAAATTAAGAACAAACTGACAGTAATCAGAGGGGAGGTAGAAGGGGAAAATGGGAGTAAAGGGGGGAAAGGTTTTCAGGAACATCTAAAAAGGACAAATGGACAAAACCAAGGGAGGGTGGGATCAGGGTGGGACGTTAGGATGACTGGAGTGGAGGAGAAGTGGTAGAGGGGAAATAGGAACAACTGTACTTGAACAACAATAAGAAAAAGTAAAAAAAGATCAAAACTATGAACAATAAAGTGGCATAAATACATATCTATCAACAATTGAATTTAAAAACTAAGTAAATAAAAACAATAGAGATAGAATCATGGATACAGAGTGTGTTCTGATGGTTGCCAGATGGGAGGTGGTTGTAGTGGTATGGGTGTAGAGGTGAGGACATTAAGAAGTAGAAATTGGTAGTTACAGAAATGCCATGGGGATGTAAGTACAATATAGGAAATGGAGTAGCCAAAGAACTTATACACATGAACCATGACATGAAAAATGGTCAGAGGATTGCCTGAGAGAGTGGGATGGATGGGTGGAGGCAGGCAAAGAGAGAAAATCATGGCAACTAATAGCATAATCAAAATATAATTTTAAAAAGCTAGAAATTCATGGAGGTTATGTTTTCTTTGTAATCTGAGGATAACAAAATCATCTGATAAAACAGCAATTGTGTGTTTAAGCCTTCATCATTGGTCAGTTTTTGATTTGTCATTAGAAAAAGAATTGACAGAAGTCTACTTTAATCACACACTGACTGACTAACACTAACAACAATAAGACATCATTTGTTTTTGGTTTTGTTTATTTTTTTCTTTAAAGGATGGGATGCAACTCATGTATGAAATAATATAATGACACTTACACAGAAAATCCAGAAAAGAAATTAGTGGTTGTGTTCCCCATGAGCTCGATTATCTGAATTTACCTCGGCTTTAGCCTGTGCCTAGCCTACACTCATGAAATTTTATTTTGTTCTCTTACATTTTAAGAGTTCCTTTGGGAAAAAAGCTAATCTCATGGGAACAGTGAGGCTAGAAAAATTTCATAACCCAAGGAACACACAGAGATGAACAGAAGGAGTGGCTCCCAAGAGGGTACAGATGTTCTTCCCCATCCCCTTCCTGCAACCTGCTCTCTAAAATGAGAGAGAAAGAATTTCTGAGAGACACATGGCCTGGGTAGCCCTGTGTACATCCTGTGTGATTACATAGTCCAATATTCTCATCAATAGCAGATGGGCAAAACCCAAGTATTTGCTTTAGTGTTTATGTATCCATAGATATTTCTAAACATAGTGAGAAAATGTTACTTTGTCATACCAGGTGTCCAAAAATTGTGTGATCTTTAATTCTTTTACCATTTTACTGTGAATGCACATTAATTGCATTGTCAAGTAGGTTGTATCCCTGAAACCAGGCTTTTTGAAATAATGATGTTGATGTTGATGATGTCACGATGCAAGCCCCTGATGACAGCTTACTTTGAAGGCAGTTTAAAGCCCTAGTAATGAACTGGAGTCTGTTTTGATATGAAGTTGTAGCCTCCTAACTCTAACCTTGATTTCTGCTATGAAAGACATTCACAAAGTTACTGTATTGTGTCATTTTATTTTTTCTTTAGGAAATTTTTCAGAAACATTGGTCAGGAAGATTATTTTACTCTTATAATGATATGAGCAAAAGGGAAGGCCAGAGCCAGAGGAGAATGTGGAGACAGAGCAGAGTTTCAATTCCTTAAAGGCTCTGAGGCTGAGCCTTTAGAGCCTGTGTTTGTCATGGTAAGCTTTAGTCTCTGGTTTTATTTTGTTTACATCTGTACATGTACTTTGCTCAGTACATGGGATACATGAAAGATCTTGGTTACTGGTTCTGTCCCAGTCACCACTGCAATGATCAACTGCATGGACCATGACCCCTGCCCATTCTGTGTCTCTTTGCTTCCTGTCTGAGCTCTTTCTAACATGAAGTGTTTATTGTTTTAGGACCTGTTTGCTGCCTGCACAAATGGAACCTGGAAGTTTAAGTAAGTTAACATTCCTTAAAATTAACATTTGACTAATGGAAGATGAAAGTTTGCAAAGAATTTCTTCTCCTTCCTGGTTGGACCTTGTTAAGTACAATTTACGTGGCTTTACAGAATGAGATTCTGTGAGTTCCAGAATCAGGTGCACCTGAGACCAAGTAATGAATGCCAGCTTAATCCTTTACCTTTTTATGTTTACTATATTCTTTTCCTGCCTCAGCTTTGTGCTCACTTCTGATTTTCTGGATTTGCACACCCTATTTACATGCTAGCACATATATTTGTGCCTCTGGCTCTATTGTTTTTCAAGAAATTTGAGCTAAAACAACAATGGGAATAGAAAGAAATGTGAAATGAAATGTATGAAGTCATAAAGTTAATAAGATAGAAAAGCTTTGAGGTCAGGATAATGGAGAGGTCTCCATGTCAACACTGAAGTTGTGGAGATAAAAAGATTACTGTAAAATAGTAGTTTCAAAATATATTTTAAAAAGTCCTTGAGGAATGTGTTGCTGTGACCTCAGTATTGGCAAGTGACAGCAATGGAAAGGATGGTTTTAAGTCATGGTAAAGTGGGGGAAGAATTGGCCAAGAATGGCAATAGGCTCTGATGCACTGGAGGTGCCTGTGTTCAGTGAAAAAATGTCCTGGTGCACTGGAGGTGCCTGTGTTCAGTGAAAAAATGCTTTTTCCAGGGAGGGATGTTATCATCCAATGGAGCATACAAATAACATAAAGCTTAATTTGAATTTAATAGAAAGTTAAATTTCTCCTCTCTTCTTTGTCTTTATAACTGTGGGTTTATTTGAGATCCATTTTCTGGCCTTCTGTCTTTCTTACTCCCTTCATTCAATAAGCATCTAGAAAGAACACATAAAAGCAGAGTATTTGTATCTCTGGTGAATACAATTAACCAAAATGATATTGCCAGAGATGTGAGTAAAGGGAAGGAGGTAGGGTCTGAAATAAGCCATTTCATTTCTTTTGGTACAGGCAAGAGCTTGCTAGGGTACAGTGAAGATGGCCCAATCTGAGCTGCCAGCATCTGACAAGAAGGAACTTTTGTCTCACTACAGAAAACCAAAGTAATTTGAATTAGTGCCACTATCCATTTGTGGTTCTAAGAACTGATCAGTGGTTATTTGTAGCAGCAACAGCAATACTATGAACAATCACTAAATGTGAACAGCGATGGGCCGCTTCATGTCCAGGCACAGAGGGAACTGAGTAGGGGAAGGGGCAGAGAGAGGGAGACCTGCTATGGCCACAGCAGGCAGTGAGAAGCAGTGTTGCTACAGTAACATGTTAGGCTTGGTGCTCCAATGGGCATAGTGGATTGTAGTGACTAGTGATATGCAATGCTGATGGCTGGCATGACCATCCCCTTCAGCAGCCCATCCTAAAACACAGCAAGCTGGCATTTGGTATAGGGGACTCATGAACTACAAGTCACTTTAAGCTGGTGAGGGCTTAAAGTAGAGACATTCTTACCATTTCTGTGCTGCTCCACTACCTGAATTGCCTGTGGTCTAAAAAAAAACCCTGTCACAAACATGGTTTCAACTGTTCTGTCATGCTACATTGATTTGGAAATCTCTGACTCCAATACCCATGAACTAGACTTTTACTATATTTTTAGTTCCCTAATATTAACTGAATTTATCTTGTTCCTCACCCCTACCTTCACCTAGCTTCTAAGCTATTCTTTCCTGTGTCTGGTAGCTATAGAATCATTCTTGTTACATAGGCCCCAAGTATAAGTTTATCATTTTCATCCCTTCTATCCAGGCAGTCAAAAAGTTCTCCACATAGCCCTTCAATCCTGTCTATTTCTAGTGTTGTTCTTTAAAATAAAATAAATCCTTGAATGAATAAAAATACCTAATGCATAACTATAAACAATTTAAAAATTAAAATAATTACCTTATAACCTCATATTAAAAATATTACTTACTTTAATCTGACCATACCTTAAATATCTCTTTTGTCATGAAACTCATGTATTTGGAAACCCTCTTTGGGTCTCTATTTCTCAACAGAGTTTTTTTTTAACTAGTTTAAGTCTACAATCTTATATGACAGAGACGGGGTTAAATCCTGGCTTTACCACTGACTATTTGTATAGCCTTGAACTAGTTACCTAATGTTTTTGCATCTCCATATAACTTTGTCCATAAAGGCAGACAATTCTTACCTTGTAGTATCGTAGCAATGTGAATAAATACCTAGTATTTATCTTGCTAAATAATCTCCCAAGTGCTTTATGAGATTACCCAAATTAATCTTCACAGAAAATATCTAAGCAAGTAGAATCTATTATTCCCACTTTACAGATAAAAAGTAAATTGGGACCTGAAAGATTTCTAAAGTTCTTTGAGGTTCTAATCTTCTGTATATTTAAGACAATTTAAATCATCTTGTAAAGAGAGAGGGGGGGGGAGGGAGAAGAAAGAAATGGCCTTGCAGAATTTATATGCTTAATTTGAGCATTGATTTTTTTGGTGGAAGAAACTTTCTTTTTTTATGCATTATCTCATTTTAATCATCCAGTGGTCCTAGCTAGTAGGTATTTTTAACAATGCTGCATATTTTAAACAATATTTATTTATTTCCAGAGAGAGGTGAAGGGAGGGAGAGAGAGAGGGACATGTCAATGTGTGAGAGAAATATCAGTTGGTTGCCACTCGCATGCCCCCAAGGGGGAACCTAGCCCCCAGCCCAGGCAGGCATTTGCCCTTACAGGGAATCAAACCAGTAACCTCTTGGTCTGCAGGCTGGCACTCATTCACTGAGCCACACCAGCCGGGGCCAATGCTGCAGATTTAACAATGCTTTGTTTTTTAACAAAGCTATGGTGAAGCTTGGAAAGTTTAAGTTTTCCAAAGTTCTGCAGGAGCTCTAAACTTCCAATTCAGGTTCAAATCTAAAGTGCTGCTGTTTCCACTCATTTAGTTTACTTGCTTACTAAGTAACTTTGAGTATATGCCAGGCACATATTGATGATTCCCAAACTCCAGGAACTTAGAGTGTTTGTGGGACAGATTAGTAAATAGATAACTACAAAATAATGTATTGATTGAAGTGTAGAAGAAGCAGAGGAGAATTTACCTTGAGGTTAATACAATTTAAGCTTCCAAAGTACTGAGATGGGTTGTAATACAGTGTTGAAGATTGCTTTCTTTTTGTTTAAGTTGCAGAAATGAAATATTTTAACTGCAGTTTGTGTAGATAGCTGTCTTTTCTACTTTGATTTCTCTATATCACATTCCCTCTTTTTCTAGATAATGTTGAATAGCTGTAAGCATTTCAGAGGTCCAGCAAAGGAGAAAATAAGGTGATATGGCATTAGTTTGAACTTCGTGAGAGATATACTCACATATGTATGGTTTGCAGTTATTTCCATGCAAAGTAGTTATTTCTGAGACTCTCAGGGAAGTAGAGTATAGTAAGATAAATAATGGTCTCAAAGGTATCCAGATACTAATTCCTGGGACTTACCAATATGACATTCCATGGAAAAACAGATTCTGCAAATGTGACTAAGCTAAGGAACTTGAGTTGGGGAGGTTGTCTTGGATTATCCAAGTGGACTTTAACTGCCATTACAAGGAGAATTGACATGGAAAATGAAGGCAATATGACCACTGTAGCAAGATGCTGAGCTGCTGACTTTCAAAATGGAAGGGGAAGCCACAATCCACAGAATGCAAGGATGGCAGGAAAAACAAGAAATAGATATTTCTTAGGACCTCTGGAGGGTTTGTGGCCTTGCTGACAACTTGACATGGCTCAGTAAAACCAGTTTCAGATTTATGACCTCCAGAACTGTAAGAGATTAAGTGTTTACTGTTTTAAGCCACCAAATTTGTGGTAATTTGTTACAGCAGACATAGGAAACTAATATAGTGTGAGATAGTCCAGGAATATTCCAACTGCACACAGGTGGGCACATTTAGTGCGGGAGAAGAGGATAGAAGACACAGGTCAGAATGACGATAGCATGTCACCCTACAGTGTCCAATACTAGAAGCTGAAATATAGGAAACCAGAAGCTGTTTTCCAGAAAACTCTCGGTAATCAGATTGAAAAATTGTAATCAAGGAATAGTTGAAATAAATGTATCATAAGTTATTTGCCCTTATCTGACTTACATGAAATCAAATTAATCAGAATTTCTGTGTTTGAGGATATAAATCAATAGCAGTTCTATATCTGCATGTGAAGTTCCACATTTTATGCATCCCAACTGTCAAACACAAAAACAAATTTTGATCAAATATGTTAGTGGAAGAATGGTACTTTTTGCTCTTTAGATAACATTATTATAAAAATGCTAGGTGTTAAAGAGGCAAGCAAAGGGACTGAAATTAAAATTGTAGGCAAAAAGCATTTTGGCAGAGTATCAGGCAGTTAATAAAACTGTTATGCTATTTTTCCGGCTTTTGCAATGGTTGTGGTATTTAATATATATTTCCTATTATAAAAATGTTTTCATTCTTACACATAATTTTATATTTATACCTTCAGTTATGTTTTGTTAATAAGCCCCCCATGATTCATAATTTCAGGACCCACAAAACCTGGTGTACCCACAGCACCAAGGGATTGGATATGCCACCGAGAGACTCAACCTGGTGTGGTGGAAATCAGGATGATCTTCCCTGGGATGGCGGTGGGGAGCCGGGCTGGCTGAGATAACTTCCTATGGCTGGCAGAGGAAATCCAAATGTATAGGAAGGAGAATGGAGAGGAGACAGTGGTCAAATTATGAACTTTATCTCCTTCCTTTTGATAAAAAATAATAGGATTTATATAAGCGAGGGATTTGATAAGTAGGTAAGTTTTCAATGTAATTTACGTCTCTCAATTTTACAGAACTATCACTCAGATTTATTTTTCAAGCAGCCATGTAGCTGCATACTAACACCGAAGACTAAAACCCCCATTCGGGAAAAACACAACCCTCAGGCACTGGTGTGGAAGATCTCTGATATTTACCA